TAAATATTTATGAGCACTACTGAAGGTATTCATATCCTGAATGAAAAAAAAAATATAACACTAACATTGATAGGACTATTTCCACAATTAAATAAAATGCACAACTACATTTAAAATATGTAGTTTCAGAACTTTGTATTATTTGAATACCAAACTTTTCAATGTATCACCTTGAGTATTATAAGTTACATAGTGAGGTAGTGAACTTATACGATATATATGGGGTCAGTCAATTCCATATGGTATGAGAGCGAAGCACACTATGAAACGAATTTATCTTACCGATTATCTTAACATGTGGTATTTAGAGTAGTGGCCTATCAAAGAGATCGTCTTCAATACTTAGTATTAAGAACCTACTTCCATTGGTCTATAATTAAACAAATGCCAACAATAACAACTTGTTAGCTTTAAAAGTGTTTGATGAATTTCAATTCAATTGTTCATCATCATTTTTTTTCGTCTGTTAAAACCTTTCAGTTTTTTCCTCAACACCGTGTTGTTTTTACAAAGGGACGTAACACAACTACTAACCGGGTATTGAAATAAGCCCCGTCTAATAACCCAATATAAAATATACACGGTCTCCACGCGGTTGCTTTTAACAATCATATTCCTAGAAATGTATAGGAGGTAAGAAAAAATTCTATATTGTTTATAAGTACTGCTGATATTTTATATCAAAATGTTTAATATGACACTGTTTAAAATTTCATGCTTTAATCTTTATCTCTTTCATACCCTAAATTTTCATCCGGTCAATATATACATTAGATCCTTTCACAACGTATTAAAATGACATATTATTGATTTGTTGATTAGAAGCAGGTAAATTAACTGACTCGAATATACAAATATTGAAAATCCAGGAATATGATGATATGAAAATAACTAATACTAAAAAAGTTATCAAGCAGGTAAATTTATCAATACTGCAGTCCAATCTACCATAAACACTGAAAACCTATATCAAGGCCTATGACACAAAGGTTGAGCAATCAAAAAAGAATTTTCCCTCTAAAATAATAGACGAGAAAAGAGGTTCTCCAAGGGAAAAGAGAACCCCACAAGAACAGTACTAGAAATAGAAACAACGAGTAACTAAATTATCAATCACTGCAATAATCCCCATGAAAGAGGGGCGAAAGATACCAAAGGGACATTCAAACTCATAAGTCGAAAATAAACTGACAACGTTATAGCTAAAAAGGAAAAGACAAACAGACAAACAATAGTACACAAAACACAACATAGAAAACCAAAGACTGTAAGTATATATCTTGTCTGATCGTTTAAAAGTCTTTTCAATTATTTAGAGGATTAAGAATTTGAGATTAACAAAAAGAGTGTAAGCCCTTGGGCAGAAAGATTTGAAAAAAATAAATAAAGATTTGTGAATAGATTTATTTGAAAAAATATACGAACTTAGGCTTTTTTCTTTAATTTCAAAAATAAGTATGTACTTGTTGATTATCATGTTATATAAGCATATACTATTATTGGGTATTGATTAAATATATTTACTGTGGATGTGTCGGAGAATTCAATTTAGATAGTCTGTTGGACAACAAATAAGTAAAGTTAATTGTTTTATTCGGTTGACTTATTTTAAATGCGTGAGTTGGTTTAGCTTGTGAAGGATTATATTTTTTAGATAATTCACGCTTGAAACTTCAATTGATTTGTTTATAAATGTAATCTGTTTTTCATTCCTAAAAACTGTTTATTTGCTTATGTTTTCTTTTGTGTTTTTCAGCTATTTATTTATTTCAAGTACACTGCGGAATGCTTAGTAGTATTACTAGTATATGGAACTGAATATTAGTCTTTTCACATTTGTTATATATAGATATTTATGGAGTTCTTGCTTGTTTATATTTCTTCCTTGTTAAGTTCCTCCTTGCTTTTTCTTGGGATAATTGCTTGGATCGATAAGTACGGATTGAATTAGCAGGGTTTTGCCCCTTATACATGTTAGAATATTTTGAATATTCGAATATTACATTTTAAAAATAATCCAGAAATAAATAAATAAGAACATAATACGCTTATTTCTAAAATAAGAAACAAACAAACACTGTAATTAGATCTTTGAATAATGTTTTATTGGTATTAATTTTGATATTGTTATCAGTAAACTAAGAGCAAACTAAATATTATTGGTATATACATATGCATATCCATGGATCTACAATCTGTCGATACCTGTATCATGGCATTGCACAAGGTCATGTTTTTCTCGGACTGTTTATGACGTCTTTACACTAAATCCATTGGATGTTAGATGTGTACTGATTGATAATTTAATCTTAGATGCAAGATATTTTCTAATAGTTGGCTTTGAACAAGATGTCAGTAACTGCGAGTACTCTCAGATCTGTACTTAGTGTCTTTTGTTGTTAAGATGTAAAAAAAAACAACCCTGCCATGTCCACTCTGTGCTTTTGTTAGATGTATGTCTATTTGTATCCATCTGATGAGTTAAGCCTTTTGTTAACTAATCTTTATAGTTTGTTTTTATGTTATATTGTTGTATCACTGTCCGAGGATAGGGGAAGGTTGTCGCCTTGAAACTAGTTTAACCCCGTCACATTCTGTATTATGCCTGTCCCAAGTTCGGAGCCTGTAATTTAGTGGTTGACGTTTGCTGCAGTGTTACATATTTGTTTTTCGTTCATTTTTTGTGCATAAATTAGGTCTTTAGTTTTTTCTGTATAGTATAGTATAGCTGACGATGCGGTTTGGGATTTGCTCATTGTTGAAGGCCGTACGGTGACCTATAGTTGTAATTTTTGTGTCATTCTGTGTCATTTGGTCTCTTTTAAAGACTACACTTTCTTTTTTATATTTACATTGACCAGCAAATCTGAGGACTTACATTATTTGTATTGGATACCTAATCCTCACAACGGACAATTTCCGGCTCATCTACATAACCAACAAAGGAATTGTCCATTAAATTGGCAAAATGCTGTCCACAGTGAAAGAGGGTTTCAGAAATACTACGAAATATTTTTACTTGCCTAGTGGTATTAACCATATGTGAATTCTAGAAGAATTCCCAATGTCAAATTGAAGATCTTCTGAAAAAATAATCCATAATAATTTGCATTTTAAAAATAGTAGCAGACGCTATAAATTTATTGCTTTGTGATACCATACGGAAGCTTTTGATAAAAGTGAATAAAAAGGTAAAACATGATACTCCGAGGTGCAAGTGATCAGTATGTCGCAGTGTCTTATTGACAAAGAGAGGCGAACGATACCAGAGGGATATTCAATATCATTGGTCGAAAATAAACTGAAATTGCCATGACTAAAAAAGAAAAAGACCAATAGACAAGCAATAGTATACAAAACACAACACAGAAATCTAAAGACTGAGCAACACAAACCTCCCCCTAACATAATTGTTGAATTTGGAGGTAGACTTTTTCAACAAATTGTCGGCATTTCTTTAGGAATGATTTCTACGCCTCTTCTCGCCGACATCTTCTTTTATGAATCGGAGTTCCTTCAGACACTTGCCAAAAACAAGAAGATCAAATAAGCCAGTTCATTTCAGATGTTCTTGCCATTAAAAATTCATTGTTTTCAGTTTGAGTTTCATCAATTTCTTATTCAGAACCCCAAATCAAAGAAGCAACAGACAAGGCTTTCTCAGCCTCATTTGTAGACTTATACCCTAAATTTGACATACATGATAATCTCATATATCTTAGTACCAGAATCTATGACAAACGAGACGATTTTTATTTTGAAATTATAAATGTCCATCACCGTAGCAGTAATATACAAACTTCACCTACGGATTGGATACATTTCTCAAATCATTCGGTATTCAAGATCCTGCAGCTGCTAATCAGAATTTATAAAACGTCACCAGTGTCTGAGCAGAAAGTTGATGGACCAGGGTTGGGTCAAGGAACATCTCGTTATTTTTTTTTGTTCATGTCTTTCAATTTTGTTAATTTACTGTGTCTATCATGTCTATAGAATGTCTGACTGCCATTTTGTTTTCTTTTGTTGACATATTTGTTTTTTTTAAGTGATCATGATTTCAAAACAATGTAGACATGTACCCCAATTTCTGACATTTTTACCGTTATGTCTGTTTGTTTAGATCACTAATTTTTGTCAATATAATGTAATTGATGCAACTATTATACAAATAAAAGGTTTAGCTAGCTATTAACAAAGTTTAATCTACCATTTTCTTCATCAAGTTATGCCTGTACCAAGTCAAAATATGACAGTTGTTTTCGATTTGTTTGATGTGTTTGAGCTTTAGAAATTACATTTTTAGGGAACTTTCCTTTTTGCATTTGCCTGGAGTTCGGTATATCTGTTATTTTACTAAAGCTCTTCAAATGTGTCGATTCTTATGCGTCCTATGCTTTCAAATATTTGCATTTTAGCGTCCCTGATGAAGGTTTTTCCAGAAAAGCGCTTCAGAATCATGAAATGTCTAACGTGTTGATTTCAGTTTTTACAGCACTGGACTGATACCTCTGCTGCTAGACTTTGAGGTACCTAGGGTATGCAAAGCTCAGTAGTCAGCACTTTGGTATTGATATGATTTCTAATAAACCTGTCTAAAATTGTCCGTTTTATAATTTTGAAATTATAATGAAACTAAGAATTCAACTCCCTCGGGCAAAGTTGATCTTAGATGGATATGGCTTTAATTTATTTGTGTCTTTATTTTTTTTCATCGTAGAATTAAAATACCCGGAACAAACATATGAATTATTAATAGCGTATATATTGTATAGGCTACAACTATAGTTCTTCATTTCCATATTTTTATTTTTTTCCGTACTTTTTTGTGAAATTTTCGAATATATTTTGACAGTACGTATTTGTTTGACTTTCATTCACATTACAGTTACATATCTGTTGAAAAACGTTCCGCAATGTGTTGTTATCGAAATTAACACCAACCGTCATTTCGATCTATTGTTTACAGATATTTGTAGCTTAATTTAACATGTTAAAGATATGGTGTTTGGACTCTATACAAAGATTTTATCCGCATATTCGTGTTAGTTTGAAATTCATTCATTACCACTGATCACTGCCTATTAACTTCCTGATCATTTTCATTGGACGATATAAATATTACAAGACGTTTTCTAAATTACTGATCAATGTTCATTATAGGAAATGCTGCATATTCTGTTGGAGGAACTATTATCCCGTTTCAACACTTGCCAGAATAGATACAGGTATGTTATAAAGATAATCAACATATTTAACCCTACCACATTCTTTAAGCTCTTTGCTACAGTCATCAACCTGTAATTAAGCAGTTTGTGCTCGTTGTTTTCTGTGATTTTAATTTCCTTATTGTTTAAGCACACTTTTTGACATTGTTTCTCACGTTTTACCTAGCCAGGGATTTTTATAACTTACTTTACGATATAGATAGATATAAGAAGATGTGGTATGAGTGCCAATGAGACAACTTTCCATCCAAGTCACAATTTGTAAAAGTAAACCATCATAGGTCAAAGAACGGTTTTCAACACGGAGCCTTGGCTCACACCTAGGTTTGCTTTAGTTATTATTGGAGGCCGCTCGTGTATCTAAATTGTTGACATCCTCGTGATGGGCCTGGTAAATAGAAGTAATATATATTTTTGTTCATATCTGTTTTCAATACAAAGAAGTCGTAGATTTTCTTGTCGGTGTTCACTGGCGTAATTCTGTGTTTTTCAATTTACACATTAAGAAATGATGTTTCCTTAATTATGATAGCTTTTGAGACAAAACAATTTGCGTGGATATAATTTACGAATATAATATATAAAGTTTCTCTTGTGTTCAAATGTTAAAACAGCACAACAGTTCAAAAAAGAATCAACGAAACGTTATTAACTAGGAACATGTAACTGCGCAGTGTATAGTAGAATGTTGAATTTCTGAAATAAATTGACTGCGAGTGTTTCCCTTCCATGTTTCTAGTCTCTAAAGCCATATCATTACAACAAAACATTTTACAAGTCTATTATGGACAATTAGAAAATTTTGAAATATATTTAATAAGAAATGATAAGAAATGTGAGGACACTATTTGACTCGTCATTGTGATCATTAGTGCGGCAGTTAATATTAATAATCTTATGGCGACAAGGCATACAGGTTTATTAAGAATACAATATAACGTAGTAAACAAGAATGATAACCTGTGATCCTTTAAATTTTACACTTCATTGTATAATTCAATTTAATTAAAATTAACTATATCTTATCACGTAATGAATTGTATAATAATGTAGACATTTGATACCTTAAAGGTAAATTTGAAATAATAACGATCTTGTTTTTACTAAAATTGACAATTATTTTGTTTCAACGTCGCATATTGTTCCCTTTTAATAACTTACCTCACAATAACAACAGAAAAGTCAACAATGCATATTTTTCTTTTTGATTAATTATTGTTTTATTTGTATAGTAAAATCATTCATGAAGCTACAATATTTGATAGACATACAATAACTTTAGGTTGCATTTCTGTAAATATAGACAATGCAATTTTCCATAGGAACTCCCTTTACGGCTAAAACTGTGCCACTTTTACTATGAAGTTTCGTTAAAAACTATATCCAAGAATGGAAAATTGATATGCACAACTATTTTATTCAAAGGTCAATAAGGCAGTGCGGCATATTTTCAACATTATATGCCCCGAACTTCTATGAGTTTAAACTTTTACTTATACTCTGTACTACCCCTTCCTTTACTTTAGGTCTGGCTCAGAATTCAAAATTCGCCGCATCCGTGTTTATATTTACAGGTAACATTTCCAAGTTATGTCTCTATGAGATGAAACATAGAGATCATAGCTGGGAACCAGTACGTAAACAAACAAAATATCTAGGAATATTATATATCTCCCGAAAAGAGGCGTGCCTTGTGAAATATCTGTATTTACAAAGTGTAATTTTACGTAATAAGAATAAATGTGTTATGAGTCCATAAAAGTCATTTTTTAATTGAATAATGATTTTTTTTGTTAAATCTTGTATCCCTTTACCCAGGGGATATATCAACTCAGTTGTCAGGGCTTATGTACAAAAAGTATGCAAAGCACACTTTTCTTCAATGATTTGTAGATAACTCTAAATTAAGAATTATTGAGAAAAAAAAATCTAACTCCTCCAGACAAAATAAATGTAAGATTTTTTTTTTTAATTGACTTTTTGGTTTTACTGGTAGTTCGCGATGGTATCATAAACCCCGTGAAATTTAAAAAAAAAACCATATAATTATCATCAGATCCGTAAAGTTAACGTGTTGTTTAAATTCTTTATTCTATATTCCATATTTATAATTTTCCCTAATTGTTGAATATAATTGATAATCAATATGTAGGTCGTTTGATGTCAGTTTTTCACAATTGACAAAGTTCAATTATGACGTCTAAGATTTTTGCCTTTCTCTAAACTCGCTTATGTGAAAGCTTGAAAAGGGCGTCCAACATGTTAAGTTTCTTTTATGTGTTATCTAGAACATCAACATGTTTAATTTTCTGTATAGTTTCAAGTTTACAGTTCTAATTTGGTGACTGTAACAAGTAAGAAACCAAGTATGCAGAATGCATATTTTAAACAAATGAAATTATTTGTTGATCCTATTTTTTAATTCCGAAAAAGGGAAATATGCGAAAATCTCAACTAAAGCGAAATGCTGAATTTAAGTATCTATTGTTAGGTGCAGGTACTTCCTTAGCACAAATACATATTTATTAAGAAATGAATAAAGATGACACATTCATCAACATTATTTTAAGAACTTGACCCTGACTCTTTTAAGGATATTCGCTACTCTGTTTCAAAATAACAAGCTTTTTAAAAGACTGATATAAATTGATAGTTTACAAATAAAGAAACTAAAATAACAGAAAAAAATGATGGGTCCGTGTGCTTGTTTTCGAGATACAAGCCATTGAAAATTTGGCGGGAAATAATTCTCTCTAGATTTTTCATACATTTAACATTGGCACCTTTTTTCTTTCAAAAACGATGAAAAAATAACAAGGATTTTATAAGATTTTCAAAGATGACATTTTAAAATATATGTAATCAAATTATGGAAAGAAAAGTAGGGGTTAATGGGCGATTTTTTTTAATGGCACTACATGGGTAAAACCAGAGGATTCCGAACATCCTTAAATGCGTTATAATGTAAAAAACGTGAACTATCATTGAAACACCAATCTTCTTTCTGTTCTTGCCACGAAACTGAATAAAAAAATAATTTTGTTTGCAGTATCTTGGCCTTTAGCAGAACTGAAGAGAGATTTATTGTCGGAATGCGCACTTGGTGCAGTAAAAGTGGCAACGTTAATGTATTGCACACAATATTGAAAATTCAATCGGACAAACGCCAACGAATCATTTCAATTTAATTTTGTTAATTCTCTCTAAGGGATGTTTACTGATCTGATTTTTGATATTCGGAATCCTCTGGTTCTATATATGAAGTACCGTTAAAAAATTATGCCCGCTTACCCCAAATTTTTCAAAATAGTTAAAAACAAAATTGAACATTTGATAAAATCTTTGGTATTATTTCATTTTTTTTGAAAGAATTTAAATGCAAATGTGAAATATATAAGGAATATACAGAGAATCATTTCACGCTAATGTTTTATGGCTTATATCTCTTAAAACAAAAATACGGAAGTTTCATGTTATCTGCTTTTTAAAATATCATTATTAATATTTAACTAATTTGTAACAATATTCAGAAAAGCTTTTGATTTTGAAATAGAGAAGCGGAAAACTTAAAGATAAAATCTTATGATAAAGTCTTAAGATAAAAGACACTAACTGCACTTTTTTGTATTTGTGTGGCGCAAGTACAAGTGAATGATTTAAGTCTGACTAATATTTATTAACGCTGCGCCAATAGTTTTTTTTCACACTGAAAGCCGAACAGAAATGTTTATGAAATACAAAAACAAATTTGTGTCATGAAATCGAATCGTTATAAAAACATAGTAAGATTTCTTCTTAAAATCAGGAATATGACAGTTTGTTTTCCATTCGTTTGATGTGTTTGGGCTTTTGCTATTGCCATTTCATAAGGGACTTTCCGATTTGAATTTTTCTTTGAATTCGGTACTTTTTTTTTATTTTACTTGAAATGGTGGATTAACCGGGTGTAAAAGCTATCAAAATATCTCACTTGTATGACAGACGCATAGAATATGGTTATGCATTGTTAAACAAATTTGACGTTGATGAAAATTTAATTTATACATAGCTAATCAATACCCTTGGCGGATACTCTGTCGTTTCGTTATATATATTATTCGAAATTAAGTTCTTCTACAATATTGACAAACAAACTTGTATTTTAGGAGATGTCACTTTCACCGAAAAAAGTATGTAAATCATGTGGAAATCTAAGTCAAACTCTAGACAATTGCACACACTGCGGTGAAAAGTTTGCAGACGGAGGTATGATTTTGATGATAGACTTCAATGAATAAATGTAAAAAAAGTGCATACTTAATAAATATTCGGGATAATGTTGATTAAACCGATCGCAGTTCAAACAAAATGTCTAAATAACATTATTCTAATCTCCGTCTAATTGAAAATAGAGTTGCAAAAGATAAACGAGCGATATCAAAGGAAGATTCTAACTGTAGAAAACAAACTGACAATGCCATGGCAAAAAACAAACTGACAATGCCATGGCAAAAAACAAACTGACAATGCCATGGCAAATAACAAACAAAAACAAACTATGATTAACAAACAACAGTTTACTAAACACAGCATCGAACACTAAAGACTGAACAACACGAAACCCCATCCCAACCGGGATGATATCAGATGCTAGGATATGGTATCAATATGTATTACATTTATTGCATTTCATCATTTGTTATCATTGATTCGTGTTTTTTTTTTTTGGTTCTATTTCACGTTTACTGTTTTCTTCCAGTTCTATTCAGTATTATTGTTAAATAAGATTGGAAATATTTTAAGTTACTATGTACATATGATTTTCCGTTTTTCTTGTTCTGTGTCCGAAAACTTTTGATTTGACACATATTTATCTTTTAAGCGGTACTTTGTTGATAAATGCTGGTACATAAATAGTGAGTGCAGCTTAAAGGAAATCTGATAAGTTTTGAGGTTTCATCCATATTTTTTCTTATAGTTGTAGCAAAGAGAAAAAAGGAACTTGAACCGCCATCTGAGTTACCTGTGTGTTCAGAAAAATCAACGACTAAAGATTATACAATGAAACGATCTGTCTCTCTTTATAGTACAACGTCTGGAAAACCGAAGGCAGGAGCAATCAAACACTATGGTAACATACATTGCATCACACCCTTAACGTTCAACTAAAAGAACAATCGCTTTCTCGATTTTGAAAATAATCGCATTTTTTTTTTGCAACTAGTTATTTTTCACTTCATGTTACTTATAGAAGAAACTTAAATTGCTTAAGAAATCGTAAAATATTAACATCATTGTAACATTTCTAAATTGTCAGATACGCTTTTGGACAATACATGTCTCTTTAATTTATAATGTTAGAGGACAATGTCTTATACTAATTTGAAGAACTGTTAACTATTAACGAAAAATTAACTCGTTAAACCAAAATTGGACCCGGAACAAAGTGATGGAATCATTATATACCTGCCTTAATTGGAAATCATGTTGTATAATTTATGACGGCTTATTTGTATAAAAAATATAAAGCAAAAATGTAAAGCAGCATATGTATCGAATCAGTAGAAGTTATACAATTTTAGGAAGCCAATATTACTACACTAGATTCGCATTTCGACACTTTCATTTTTGTAAACGGTTATATGAGTTGTGGTACTTCAAAACAGATTTATGCAGAAACATCATGGTAACATTTCCATTGCCACGTATATGTCAAATTTGAGCATATAAATACTGATGCACAGAGAAGTGTAATGGAGGTGTAAAAAATTAAAACAACTGAAAACAACATGCTATAAATGTTATGCAACTAAAGAGTTTTTCAGGATTTACCTTCATCAGGAACGCTCAAAGCCGAATATTTGAAAGTCAAGGATGCATAAATAACGAAACAGTTGAAGAGCTATATAACTAAAATATTATTAGTCGTTTAATATCAAAATGTGTCACCAATATTTGTCATTAATAAATTATTACATGTTATATATAAAAATATAAAGATTTGTTTAAGGTATAAAACATATGATGACCCTTTTCAATTGAGTTTGTTAATCAAATTGATTTAAATTCAAACATCATTTCCACATTTCCCTAAACACACTTTACAGGTTTACGTTGGGTTTTTATTCGATAATAACGTAAAGTATGTACAAGTACGTTTGTGTGTTTTCCCTGTTAAGAAATATTAACAGTTTTTTTTTTATACTTTTCCAGATGTCGACAACAGCACTCAGGCATCAAATCGCAGTTCCAATTACCTCAATGTAGAAATGAAAGGTATTCTTTGAATAAAAAAGCAAGAATACAGGACTATAGAATATTAAATTCTTTATACAAGATTTCAATTTCATTTTTTTTCATATTTATTTATAAACCTGCATTCATTTTCATATATCATTGTAAATGAAACACTGATAAACATATTTGCTTTATTTCATACAGCGTATATAGATAGTTCTTAGACAAAAAAGTAAGGTAAAAAAAATATCCAAAATTGTAAATTTGCACGAACATTTTTGTAGATAGTTATGTTGAAGCAATACGCGATTTTGATAAAATGAGACCTGGAGATTTAACCATACGGACTGGAGACATAATTACCCTTGTGAGGGAACACAATGATGGATACATGGAAGGGAGACTTGGAAAAGAAGAAGGTCTTTTTCCTACTTCTCACGTAAAGGCATATAATAAACAAGGTAAACAATAAATGCAATCAAAGGTATACATCAGGATTATAACTTGTGTTTCCATCAGGATTGTGAAAAGGAAGTATACTGACATGACCTTATGTGAAAAGGTGGTAATTAAGAGCCTCCTTATGGGGGTTTTTGATTATGCGATTACTTAAACACCCTCATGAGGAGCCTTAATTAAATACGGTTGATTTTTTTTCCCAATCGGTGAATATATCTGCAACATAAAATGGCGAGAAAAAAAATCAAGGAATAATCTTATAAATTTAGTAGCATAGGTAATTGACAAATTAGATGTATCCGTTAAGTCTGCCAACTCTGAAAAACAGATAGGACCTTTCTAATTGTGACAATGACGTAATTACCTGCGCCGATACTAGTATATGAACATCAGTATGTATGATCTGCAGAATTTATGAAATCTGAACGTCAATATTCGAAATCCCTGTGCCTCTAATTTCGAATATTGATTTTTTTTGTATACATTGAAATACAAATAAAGACATGAGCTGCGAAGATTTTTCATAATTTGACTTTAAATACAGAAAGGACATTGCATATTATGCAACAATGTGATACAGATACAAATGATGCTTTGAAGATTGAAACTTGAAAGAAGGTCACCCTGAGAAATAAATCACATGACTTTTATAATAAAAGAGACTGATGGGTATCTGTTTATTCCACTGAACTTGAGACATGAATAGTGAAGGTATTTTTAGGATAAAACTCAATCGTCGAAGCGCTCCTTTGAATTAGACTGCATAAGAACGATAAATATGTGAATTATAGAGGCAAAATTTGGTTTGTGCACTTAACTTATAAAATTGAAAGGTAAAGATACATTGATAAATAATTAATATAAACTTATTTAAAATCTGCAGTATGATATGTTGATAAAATTGTTCCAAGCATAAACATAACAATAACATTTTGTAACGAGTACCGTAAAAGTTGTACGAGTAAAATTTTGAAGTTGAAATATTGCTCGATTTAACAAAAACAATGCAGAAAGTAAAAAAAAACCAAAAATATACCAAACTCTGAGGTAAATTCAAAACAGGTGTCAAAATTTAAAAGCTTTTACACATCAAACGAATGGATAACAACTTTCATATTTCTGACTTGGTACAGGCATTTTCTTATGTAGAAAATGGTGGATTAAACCTGGTTTTAAAGCTAGCTAAACCTCTCACTTGTATGACAATCACATAAAATTCCATTATATTGACAACGATGTGTACACAAAACAATCGGACACAATAGGCTATACATTTCTTGGCGCATTTAGAATATTGCAATGTTATTATTCGAATATATTTCAATAGTACTATTTTTAGTAGAGGATGAAAAAAAAAGAATAAATGCTCAAAATTATGCCGGGTTCGACGGGTTTAGAAATAATTTATTTGAACAACGAGCACACTGTTGACTGTCTTGTATGTTGGTTAAAACATAGAGAGCATTTTGATTTTGTTTTTCGTACTTTATGTTCGTGATACAGTTTAAGGTTTTTGTTACATAAAGAAGAAGATGTGTGATTGGCAATAAGACCACTCTCCACAAGAGACCGAATGACACAGAAATTGTAATAAACCATAATTGAAAGGTTTAATCGTCTTTGCAGGTAGCCTCAGTTCCGGTCAAACATCACATGACAAGTCTGAGTACTTCAACGTCGATCTGAAAGGTATAAATCTAATTCACATTTAAAAATCTTTAATCCACCAAATTCAACAAAGAAAATACCTTCTTTTTCTTTGTTTACATAGTTGTTTGTTTCTATAGTGATTGACATGATAACACAATGTTGACTGCTGTATTTCATTTTCGACATTTTTACCTGTTGTGTCTGCTTTGCTGACACATTGGTGTCAATATAATGGAATTCAATGCGACTGTCATACAAGTAAATGGTTTGGCTAGTTATAAAACCCCGTTTAATCTACTTTTTTTCAAAATAAGGAAATATCTGTACCAAGTCAGGAATATGAAAGGTTTTTTCCTTTTTTTTATATGTTTTGCTTATGATTTTGCCTTTTGATACGTGACTTTCCGTTTTGAATTTTTCTTGGAGTTTGGTATTTTTGTTATTTTACTTTCTACCATGATAAGCAACTTTATGACAAATATAAATCAATTGTTTTAAAAACAATTGTTAAACGGTCTTTCCCCTCCGAAACATGATTAATTGGTTTTTTGCTTGGTTGGTTGGTTGGTTGGTTGGTCGGTCGGTCGGTTGATTGATCGATTGATTGATTGATTGATTGCATGGCACTTTCTCTGTGCGACGCAGCTAACTTAAATAACGCCTATATTCTGACCGAACGTGACTGCGTACTTAGACATCCCGCACAGCCAAACGGACGCCTGAGATGTCCTCATAAAAATTGATCCTAGCATCATTCGTTTATAAATTTTCTCTAGTTTCTATGTTACCTCGGACTTCCATTTGTCATCTATTTGTTGTGTATGCATTTTGATTGAATTTGTAGGAAAACGGAGTAAATTTGATCTTGGAAGTTTTATTTTCCCTCATTTGGATATGCAATGTTTTATTCTAAATTTAGGTCCGCGCGCGAGATGGTGTTGTGAAGTCTTGGAAGTTTTATTTTCCCTCATTTGGATATGCAATGTTTTATTCTAAATTTAGGTCCGCGCGCGAGATGGTGTTGTGAAGTCACGTGACCCTCGAATATATATGTCTGGAGTTAGAATATTAATTTCTTTTCAGGGGAGACCGTTGAACAGAGCACATGTGTATTGATCAAAGAAACACGATAACTATTGTTTTTATTTTGTACAGGTCATTGATGTCGGATCATGCATACATATTACGTACACATGTTTACTGGAGCACAGATTTGTATTTTAATGCATGTTTAGAAATTTGAGTGTAGGATTTCAGTAATACATTGATTTTAATTTCGCAATCAAGCGGACCGCACGTGCCTCATCGATTAATTTCAGAAAATACATGAATTGAAGCAGATTTTTGCAGGGATGGATTTCTATTTCAGAAAGAAATTTGTACATAAGAAGGATTAGCATTTTACAGTATAATGTACGGGACTAAAAGCGATCTTCTTTTCTTTGAAATGGGATAACTTAAAAAAAAAAATCAGTTGAAAAAAAGGGGGTCTCTATCACTTATGGTTTACCAGTTACAAATGCATATCACTTATTTCAAATGCATTAGGGGAAATAACTCTCATATGGAGTCTTCGTATCGCTTCCGTCAAAATTGGACAACAAATCCTGAGGATATAGCGAGCCATTTGGTAAAATAAATTTGTCGCTTTCTTTTACGGTTACGGAGGAGATGCAGTCACAAGGAAAACAGTGTTCAGGGAGATAACTCCTACAAAGAAAATTGTTCGGCTTAGAATGGGTGAAAATAAAAAGCGCATAAACTGTATGATACTATATAAGAAATATCTAAGCGACATCTTGCGAAACAAAAATTTTACGCGAGAACAAAATTAGGCGGAAGAAAAAAAAAAAAAAATAATAATAATAATAATAATAATAATCAGAACAAATACAAAAGGTCTTTCCACAGAAAAGTGGAAAGACCTAATAAGGTTTTCCCAATTAGAATCCGGAATCATACAGTTAAACATAATATTTTTTTTTTTTTTTTTGGAAACATTTCGATTTTCTACAGCTTAAACATTGATATTATAGTTTTATGTACCGTGTTGTTCGTCTTTTAGTTTTCGTTGGGAAAGGTGTGGAAAGATTTCTCATAGATTTCATTTTGTATTCAAATATTGGCTTACAGAGCTAATAAAACCAACAAATATAGCAAAATGCCGTCAAGGAGTCAAACTTGCTAATGAGGGAAATGCATGCCTAAATTCTAAACTAATTGTTCTTTATATTATATTACAAAAAAATTCAAAAACATATATTCTTACCCAGTTCGTTATTCTAGACTAAAGAAAAGTTACAAAAGAACCGTCAAAATTGTTCACATTAGCTGTGTCAATAAGAGTTATAATTTCGTTTGCTGAGTTCACTAACATTTCGACAATAATAAGTACATTGTGTACGTGAAACTATTTATTGATTATTTGCAATTCTACAAATGTACAATGATTAAGTCATACGGGTGTATAGCCAGATCAACTACATATAGCTTTATAAAAGATTTGAGAATAATAAATGCAGTAAAAAATATTTAAAAAACAAAACAACTTAAGGAATGACTGTAATATTTTTTCGGTCTATGAAGAAATAACATCAAAAATGTGGTGCACACTGAATAACTCGCGTAGCGGGTTATTTTAAAGTGTACACCACATTTTTTATGTTATTTCGAATAGACAGAAAAAATATTACAGTCATTTCTTATAATTTAATTCTTAATTCCATTTTAAACCGGAGTAAACCATGAAAAAACGTTGATGACGTCACGGTCACATGACAAAATTATGTCTATGAGCTGATAAACAAAACAACGTCAGCCAATCAGAAGACGCGTTACATCCAAAATTGTATTATAAATTAATAACGATTATTAACTATGCATTATTTTAGAAAGTGCATCAGTGGTTCCAGATGTACCACCACGAAAATTTAATCTGAATTCAAGTTTTCCGTCTGCAGGCCTGGATCAAGGTATTTGAAATAATATAAATTTATTAGTATTTTTTAACAAGATGTATTAATGTTATATGTATTTCTTTATTGACTTATTAACTTGTAAGCTTCAAGCAAAGGTAAAAAATAACATTAACGAAACCAATGTTTCTGCCCCAGATGTGCAATTCGACAATAAATGTCTCTGAGGTGATTGCTATAGGCCAAAATATTAGAAAATCTACGACTTATTAAGAATATGAAGGCCTTATAAACCAAAAAGGAACAACAGTTTGCAACATACAAATATATATTTAAACATATATATAAATTGATAAAGGACAACCGTAGAAATAAAAAAAAAAGCATTTGGTAGGCCAAAATATTCCCAAAATAATTTATTTCCACTGTGAGACTAAAAAAAAGACTTGTTATTTATAACAAAAAGTCCATAGTGAATCGCAAATCAATTCTCTAAAAAATCTGTAAGCACGAGCATCGACAGTTAGGTTGGTGGTTAAAAGACATTGATTTGTAGGTGTCTGGAACATTTTTGTTATCAAATGAATTAAACTTAATATAAACATGTTTTTTTTAGATCTTCTGGAACTACCACCAGCACCACCTAGGCCTTTTCGAAAAGATAATACCAACGATGGAACGAAAGAATCCGAAGGTTATATAGAACTTAGATATTGGTCTTTATTGCAATTTGATAATCATTAATATTATTGAAAAGAATATTAGGCGTTTTTTTTATCAATTTCAAAGTTGAGTCCTTTATTTATATATTATTTCCAAATATTTACCTTAACACGAATTGAGAATTGTCACAATATATATGTATGAAACGATGGATTTCTTATTATTTGTTTTTTTACTTTTTGATTTTCCACTGTCTACATGCTTTGATTCGTTTCAAAAAAAGAAAAAAAAAAAAAAACTTTTTCAGTACAAATATAAAATATTTATGTCAACCTGGGAAAGTGAGTAACATTGTCATCTGGCATAATCACTTGTTTATCAGCAGTCATCAAAGCGTAATTCCAAGCACAAAACATAGTTAATAAATTCCTATAATGATGTCAGGCATGCATGTGGCAAAACATAATAATAGAATAATCACCAACCGTCATTTCGTCAAAGATCATACGCCAGATCATATTGGATTTTTTTTATCAATAAATACGTTGCTAAATAACTTGTTTGTATTTTTCAAATTCAAATCCTGTTTTATAATCTAATTCTTTCATGAAAATTAAAACGCAAAAATCACATTAGAGAGCGACTAATAAGAAAAATAACATATATTAAGAAAGAACTAAAAATTACCAGTACAAAACCGAAGCTACCTATGAAGATCAAATTTAAAGAGTTTCTGTTTGTAGATGTCGGCCCGAAACTTCCACCGAAACCATCAAGGAAAAATGTTGAAACATTCGGTAAGTAACTAAATGACTTTGTATGCGACTTTTGTGCGTGTGTGTGATTTTTTTTATCATACCTTTGTTCTTTTCTCAAAGTATCGTTGTTAAAATCGTAGGCGATGCTAACAAAAAATCGGATTTTATGGAGTTTAGTTAGCTGGATTCAGATCAAGCAGATGGCGAATGATACATGCATTACAGGAAACGCCTATCCTGCCAATGCAACTAGTCTTGAACATTTTGCCATTGATATTTCTATCGATCATAGAAAAAAGAAGCAACTTAAAAACCTATAGGTTACTGAACAACCTAGAACACTGATCAAAATCAATGCAATTTGGGAATCTATTCAAGGCCTTATGAAAGCAACATATACGAAGCAAAATAACAGAGAAAGTAAATTGGTTGTGTTAAGCTTATAACACTTTTAAAATAATTATGTCAGAGGTCAATCACCGAAAGACTACAGGCTTAAGGCACAAAAAGAACATGACAAGTATGACGATGTTTGGCATCTATGAGGTTGTTCAACCTCTTCCTCTAACTTTTGGCAGCGGTCTTTTATTTCAAGAGTTGAACATACTGTATAATCAGTTGAAAAGTGGTTGAATAACAGGGCTATACTTCCATAAAGGACACAAAGTACCGACCTTGGAGTACATGCATTCACAACTGCTAGTTCAAATCAAAATTCAAGTAAAATATATATCCTTATAACAAATCTCATAACGCAAATCATTATATATTTGTCTAATTTGATTCTGAATTTACCTACCTCGTATTGCCTCTCAGAATTTTCAATTCATTGCATTTCGTATATCTATTCGCATTACTTGTTCACGCAGTCCTTCCGATTCAAATCTCTTTTATCCGTTTAAGTTTTATATGGTCTTTGACGTTTGTATTTGAGAATATTATGGCCTCGACATCATTGAAAGCGACATTATTAGTCGAAATTCTCATCTGGTGCAGATAAATTGGAACTGTTCATCTTATTCTAAAAGAGATTTGTTAAGAAATTTAAACTTTTCTTACAGATACTACTAATAGATACTTATCATTCAAGAAAGAAGATCAAATTTATAATGCTGGTATATATGTTCTTTTATTGTTTTCTGGATATTTTACATTTTGAATTTAGATTCGAAAAAGCATCATTGAAGGTCTTGTATGAAAGACTAAGTAATTAGATATAAGAAGATGTGGTATGAGTGCCAATGAGACAACTCTCTATCCAAGTCACAATTTGTAAAAGTAGTGATTTGACTTATCGATTAAAAACGGAAAAAATATAAAGAAACATATTTTATCGAGTGTTACATACTTTTGGTAAACGGCTTTACGTCCCAACAACAAATGCACGTGACCTAAACACATATATAAACTTCCACTCCTTAAATTGTGTTTTTTTTTCTATTAAGGTGGTACCAAACACCTTGACTCAAATTAATTTGGCTCGTGTAATTTTCATAAAATGTTGACAAAATATTAACTTTGACCCTTTGTCAAAAATATAAAAATTTCAAGAAACTTGAACTACACACTTTATCGGAAAAATTTCATTGGATATATAGCAGTTTGACAACCACTTATTTTGATCACTGAGAAGCTTACTATTTCATTAACAATAGAACGTGATTAAAACGTTCAGCTGATTTTAACAGAGTTATCTCCCTGTAGTGTAATGTACCACCTTAATAAACAAAATATCCTAAATATTCATTATCATTTATTAGTTTTTCATGACATCATAAAAATGTCTAAATCTTGTACAATTTTATTACCACTAAAACAAAATAATGAAACTGTCTTCTTTGTTCAATATAAATAATGAATATTTTTTTTTATAGAAAACGAAGATGAAATTAGAATCATACTGCTGGGGAAAACCGGATCAGGCAAGAGCGCTACTGGAAATTCTATTGTAGGAGAAAAAATGTTTAAATCAGATATCAGTGGAAAGTCCGTAACTAAAAAATGTGAAAAATTTGACGTCAGATGCAATGGAAGAAAATTAATGGTAATTGATACACCCGGTTTGTTTGACACAACGTTATCACAAGACGTCGTCAAAAATGAAATAATTCGCTGCGCGGATATGTCCTTACCTGGCCCACATGTGTTTATGATCGTGCTTCAGATAACAAGGTTAACAGCAGAGGAAACCGAGGCTTTAGAACAACTGTTTGAAACTTTTGGCACGTCCATGGGGAAGTACTCTTTGATAGTTTTCACGAGATCAGATGAGTTGAAAAGAGAAGGAAAAAGCATTAAATCTTTTATTGAGGAAACAGGCTCACCTCTGACTGATTTTATACGAAAATGCAGAGATCGTTATTTTGCGATGGACAACACTACAACTGGACAAGTTAAGAATCAAATGGTCACGGAGTTAGTGAAAGTAGTTGCAGATATAGTAAAAGATAACGGCGGTCGTCATTTTACAAATAGAATTATCGAGGAAGCATGCCAAGCTAGAAAAGCGTATGACTCTTTGAATCAAACAGACGATCTTCAGCAATTACATAACAAAGACGAAGATGACGATGTATTTGATGATGATTTTGACGTGTATAAAGGCGATAGCATTTCGGTCGAAAGCCATGATTCCGGAGTTTCAATGTCAAATCAACCTATATATGATGAAATATATGAAGGATATAATTCTAAGGAGAACGAGATTAGGAACCTTATTGACAAAACTCACAGCAAAATTAAGAGCACTGAGACAATAAAAAATCGTCTACAGGAACAAATTGAAAACGATATGGCGAAGATCGATTTACAATTGACAAAGAAGAAGAAGGAGGTTATTGATATCAAGGCTGACCTTGACCGTTTAACAAACCAGTGCCGTACACTAGAACAGCAGAGGAGAGACATAGAGTGTAAAACAAGAAACGACAATCAAGAATATGATTTAAAACTGAAGCAGTTACACAAAAGGAGAAGAGATTATCAGAATCAAATAGACAGCCTTGAGCGAAAAAAAATGGAGTCAAGACAGAAAATTTCGAAAGAGTCTGCAAGTTTGCAAACCAAGATAAATACTCTTCAAAACGGCTGTTTGATTATGTAAATTTTGAGATGCTGAACATAATGATATAACGATTAAAAGCAATTCTATCTGAACTGAAACAGTGATAAAAGTTTTGTATTGACGTCACATGTGTATATAGTTATAAATATGAATTTGATTATCATTCACCTTTTGCATACGCGGTTTATTGAAAAATACTTTTCTTTTTGCTTTCAGTCAATTAAATAATTACTGAGGCAATTTACCGAAAAAATGTTTGTAATTTGTATTTTTTTTTGGAAAATTTTACTCATTTCTCTTCATATTGTAGTCCTATTACATTGGCCCCTTTTATTGCATTTGATAACATGAAGCTTGTTTTCAATTGTTTACGAGCAATTGCTGATTTTTATATTTTATTTGGAAAAAGTGTGATGTAAAATGAGTTGAAAAACAATAGTAAGACATAAATTTTGGAGGGAGATTTATTAACATATGTAGAGGTGTTAATGATTATTTGATATATAATCATACAAAGTTTTATTTTAATCACATTTATTGATATGGTGATTTATTTCGAAAATCTTATGTGTTTTTACGTCTTATAAGAACAGCATGTGTTTATTTCAATTTATCTTTGTTCTAAATATGACTTTATTGCATAAGGTGGTAAAATTTTTAAAGTGTTAAATTTGATTTTAATAAGATAATCTAAAAGTTTTCCGATATACAGGTTTATATCTAGAACAGTTTATTTCTTTTTTTTGTATTTGTTTCTTTTTTGAATTTTTTGAATTTAAGTTGAAGCTGTTTCTATTTGGTATATATCAAGTACAAAAGTATTTGCTAAATTGTATTATACTAAATAGAATACAATCAGTTGCATATTATGGCTATATATCAGAAAAGAGTAACGTTTACAGAAAACCGTGTGTTTAAGGCATTTGGATCCGTTTCACCTTGATCTAAACAGGCATACTTATTTTTAATACATATACGGAAAAGCAAACTGCTGTAAGCCGTACTGAACTTGCAGCCAATTGGTAGCGTATGTACGATGTTAATGTATCACATTGAATTTAAAATGAAAAAATAGTAATACAGGAAGAAACGAGCTGCTATTTGAGTTTGGTTTATTCATATGAATGTAGTGCATTTATTTCATCAATTAGTAAAAAACAACCTCGCCCTCTCTAACAGTGTATCCGCGTATTGAATTGTATTCCAAATAACTAACTAAGTGTTAGTTGAATAATACAGGCAACTGTAGTATACATCTGTTCAATAGTCATAAATAGATTAAGTGAAAACAAATCCGGGTTACAAATTAAAACCGAGGGAAAATACCTAATCTAAGAGGAAATCACCAGAAACACTGACCTGCAACAAAAGGTGATCTCAGGTGCTCCGAAAGGGTAAGCAGATTGTGCTCCACATGTTTTACATTCCATTATCATTTATGTATTGAATGTATAATCCATCAGTTGATGCGATGATTTTTAAGTCTGCATTTCCTATCAGGACTGTCTTGTACGCGAAAGCTATTGAATCAAGGTTTCCTGTGACAATGTTGAAGTAATCCGTTCGAAACGTTTTACGACCGCTCTAATGAGTGTATAGTTATGCAATCTTTTGTTAAAGAGAATTTTTGGTTTGTTTTAAGTGTGTTAACTACAATTCGTACCTTTATTCCTCGATTGTAACACCAGCGAAAGATACTCACAACTTTCCATGAGTAACATTAATTTTCGGATGCCACTAGTGGATTAAGACACACAGACAATTAAAAGTACACAAGACACAACATAGAAAACTAAAGACTAAGAAACACGAACCCCACCAAAAACTAGGGGTGATCTCAGGTGCTCCGGAAAGGTAAGCAGATCCTGCTCCACATGTGGCACCCTTCGTGTTGCTCATGTTATTACAAATCCGGTAAATAGTCTAATTCGGTAGGTCACATTCGTGAAATGGGAAGGGAATTGTAGTTACGACATAAGGAACATATATGATATCATCTGTGAAACGGTTATTCCATAACAGTCAACCATCTCGTGATGGTGTCTGTAAAATTTACAAAGGGATGATTTCAACGTCACCTTTTGGAACTCTTGGTTTAATAGCTTCCTTGTAAGCAGCAACCCTCTATCAAGGAAATCATGATAGGATATACAAGCCCGGGAATATCGTATTAATTGGCAGATATATACTCCGTATGCAGGCTCTGCTTGAATGTTACTACATAGAAATGGAAAGTTCACATTTGGGAAGCTGAAATCAACCCTTTTGTCGTAAAGGTTTGTTTTTAACCGACCCTCATTGTCAATTTCTAGATGTTAGTCAAGATATGAGGCTGACTTACCTGTATCTGTTGTATCCTGTATCTCTAGTTCGATCGAATAGATGCGTTCAACATAGTCATCAAATTTTGAATTATTTAGTGATAGAACATCATCTATATAGCGGAAAGTAAAGTTAAAGAATATTGATAACTTCTTATCTTTCTTCCTAAGAAGTTCCAGTATCAAGTCAGCCTCAAAATAATAAAGGAAAAAGTCGGCAAGGAAGAGGGGCACAATTGGTTCCCATTGGAATGCAGACATTCTGTTGAAAAACACGTCCTCCAAACGTAACAAATATGTTATCAATCAAGAAATCAAGCATCTTGATAATGTCAGTTTCAGAAATTGTTTTGTTTGATTGAGGGTCTTTCGTCCCTTCCAGAGCACTCGAGCCCATTCTTTGTTGCGCAGTTTGTTTTTCTAGGTTTTACGTCTCTGATATTTTTGTTTGCCATTGTGTAGTCAGGTTCTCTAGATTTGTGAGATTGGAGTGCCCCCTTTGTTTTTTTTTACTTCGTCTTTAAATGCTCTTTTTCGAGTTTCATTTTTATTTTATTTTGATCAAAACGTTTCATTTTAGTTTTTCTTGTCCATCCTAAAATTTAAACTAAAATGCTTAAACTATAACGTGTCCAACACTTTGAATATGAAATTTTAAGATTTTGGCTTTTGTTTTCTACATATATATTTTCTGTCGTATCACAACTATTTTCACATAATAAACTGTTGACACAGAAACATGTTTAGCCTGTCCACATAAAATTCAGAAATATAATCTGATGGACAGCAACATTGCTTTTTGATTTAAAGTCGCTGGAACATGATATTGTGGTTAAGTCCTAGAAATGGTTAAAAAAACTGAGATAATCTGATAGCAAAGCAACTTTATACAAAATAACATTTATCTGTCACAACTAGTTCGTATCAAAATGACCTAAGCAGAAAACAATGAAAATCTATAATTTAAAATATTCCCCAAAAAATGAAAATTATTGACATATACTTTACTCAAAATATACATGTATATTGTAATAATTGCATATGAGGTCAACGGTAACCGTGGTCAAAACAATCACACTGACTTTATAAGATATATTTTCGTTCAAAGAAGAGAGTAACACACAATTGAAAATAAACAAGATAAAACTGACATATTTGAGCTTCATTTGACAACTCCTAAAGGAAACACTTGATTATCAAATCCAAAACTTGGAGGTGTCAATAGTTAAAAGCGCAATATATTGATTTGATCGATATTTTATATAACACAGGAGTTCCATTCGTCATGAATGCAGTCATATTTTTCTATTTGTATTTATACTCACTGAATACGACTGATCAGAGTAGTGGAGAAAGATTTACTTTCCACCTGATTTCTGTGGTTGACATTTATTCTTATATTACCTTTCTTCTTTTGAACAAGTAGTTGTACGTCACTCTTCGATAAATACTTTTGTTATTGATCCAATATTGTAGCATGTTTGATATGTTTCATGTGCTTAATTGTCTCTAGATGAACATTCGTATATTTTATGTCTCTTTAAATTTTATGTCTCTTTAAATTTTATATAAAAAAGAAGGTGTGGTATGATTGCCAATGAGACAAATCTCCACAAGAGACCAAATGACACAGAAATTAACAACTATAGGTCAACGTACGGCCTTCAAGAATGGGCAAAGCCCATACCGCATAGTCAGCTATAAAAAGCCTCGAAATGACAAATGTAAAACAATTCAAACGAGAAAACTCACGGCCTAATTTATGTACAAAAAATGAACGAAAAACAAAAAGGTAACACATATTTTCCTATTCATATATTCTTTGCGAAAACAAGGTTTCTGGTCTGAGCGGTCAATATAGAGGTAAGAAATACGACAAAGATCATATTTAGGTATTTATATATTCTCGAAATTAAAAAATTATGTGATTAACCGTTCATGGTGAGGGTTAATACAAAAAAGCGTTTCAGAAACAAAAACAAAAAATGTGTTATTTTCAGTTATGTCATTTACCTATCTTATCCCATAGTTATAGTAAAAATGCTTTATTCTATTTTGTATAGTAAAAGATAACACAAATATCAAAATTACATGTATATCTTCACAAATGGTAGATATTTGATAAGATAAGAAGCATATGATGCAATTAATTTCCCCCAGAAGTTTTTTTCGAATTTTGTATTGTGGTTAAAATTCCTGTCTTCTAATATGAATACATGTAATTTGTAATTGACATTTTGCATTTATATCGTTTTAGATTTATATGTTTTCATATCTCTCTTTTCTCGTAACAGTTTACTTTTTGTAAGGAAGCATGGCAATTCTGTAAATATTACCCATCATTTTAAATTCGGATAATACAGTTGGTAAACACACAAGCATAAGTAATGAACAGACAATTTTCATAAGTAAAATAGTCAGACGACGGATGGTATGAATAATGGCATGTTAAAAATAAGATTCACCTTAACGACATATTTAAAAGGTTCTTTTAATCATCAATATACTTTTGGATATTACTCTACTCCAAGTCAGACATCGCATTACTACTATACTGTAAACTGTGGATTTATGCCGAGTCATCACATCATACTTAAAGCCCAGGATTTTTTCTTTCTTCGTGAAATATTTATCAGCTTAATATTTGAGTTAATTTCATTAAAATCTCTGAGATAAACCAGAGTTGGTGAAATATGTTCTCTTTTTCACCCAATATAGGTTGTACTTCTCTAATTATAGACAATGTAATTTTACAAAGGGACTTCCTATGCGCCTAAAACTGTGTCACTTTTAGTATGAGGTTTCTTAAATTAAAATATCCAATAGCAGAAAGCTGGTATTCACTATTATGTTAATCATAGGTCAATCCATTGGTTTTTTTTTAACATTAATATGCCCTGCACTTTCAAAAGTTTAAACTCGTACTAAAATTCTGAACTCTCCTACTTTCACTCTGGGTCTTCCTCAGGATTCAATTTTCGACGCTACCATGTGTTTTCATACTGGTTAAATTCCCAAGTTATGTCTCTATGAGATGAAATATTTAAATAATTTCTAGGACTATTACGTAAACAAAACAAAATATCTATGAATATTATGTATCAACCCAAAATAGGCGTGGTTTGTGGAATAGTTTTTTTTTAAATGCAACCTATAACTATACTGCTTTTCTTCGTTTAATAGTAAAAATGATGCTGTGTTTTGATATAGAACGCTTTATTGTTAAAGGTTATCTTTTTAAGTCAACAATAGCCGCCAAAAAAGTAATTAATCAACTCATAAATGAAACAACATTTTGAACATGAACAGAACTTTAATGATACAACAGTACAGTGTGTTGGCAGGTATGGATAGGAACAAACAAATAAGCGCTACAGCTCTGCCAAATGGGCAGTGAAAATGCACAAAAAAAAGGCGCATTTTAGTTCAAGTAATCAATATTGCATGTCAGCAGTCTTGGTCGAGTGGCATTGTGTACGAACAGAAGACTGATGAGCATCGAAGGAAATACGCCTCAGTTGAATCTTAAATGTTAAATTCGTTTTGAATTCGGTTATTAACAGTTATAAGTTTTCCTGAGTTAACACATTGGACAATGGACCCCTGAACAATTTGCAGTTAAAACAATAAACAGAGAAATGAATTAATCATAGTCAGTGGATTTTTAGAATCGGAATCTTCATACATATTTATATATAATCAAAAATAGCATTTAATTCTTAAATGCCTGCATCAAGTAAGGAATATGACAGTTGTTATCGATGTGTTTCAGCTTTTGATTTTG